AAGACCATTAAAAGTTGTTCAAAATTATATTTTAAGAATAATTTACAGAAAGGACAAACTATATCCTACTAGAGAGTTATATAACAAAGAAATTAGCGACATATCATCGCTATTCATACATTCAGCATGCTCATTTACCCATAAGAACAAAAATACTCAAACATATGTAAAACATAATCACAACACAAGACAAATATCTAACAACTTCGTTGCTCTACCTGAAAAAAATAATCGAACAATTCATCTTAAGTTTCTTAATTATGTAGCCCCAAATTGTGTAATTTATTGCCAAGTATAATAAGATCAATAAATAACTTCAATTTGTTTAATAAAAAATCCAGAGAATATATTACTATACACAGGAACACATTTGTTCAGATACTTTCTCAAAAGTTGAGTTCTCGGGAAAATGTTTAAAGTTGCTAGTTTTAGGTAAGAATATACATGTATGGTATGCTATGTGGATTACTGTTAAACCAGGACAGAAAATAAAAATATGATTACTGATATAAAAAAATTGTAACCTCAAGAGTACATACAGGTACAAGGTATCTAGGTACTCAACAAATATTTTTTACATTATATGAATTATAAATTGACAAATAATTTTCTGTTTACATATATATTTTTAATAAATTTTGAATTTGAATTTAAGGACAAAAATGTGGTTTATGCAAGATGGAGCGCCACCACATTTTTCTCGGCTGGTGCAACTTTTCAAATCGTTGGAGTGACAATGGAAGAGTTATTGCTTGGCCGCCCAGCCGTCCGGTCTTCAATCCACTGGATTTTTCAATTTCGTTCAAATGAAAGATTTAAAAAATCAGGGATTTCCGTATTTTTCCATTTTATCGGAAGGTAACATAGTGTTTGATGGGTTTTACGAGCAAAAATCCCGTTTTTTTACAGTTTAATCCATTTCTCGGGAAAATCGCACTCCGAAGACGCTTTTTTGCTTAGATTTGAGTTCCCCAGACTAAAATACGTAATCAAGATTGTTTGCTCAAAAAATCACTCGCTATAAACCTATGATCGACTCTATAGCAAAAAGTGGAAAATGCCGCATTTCCTCATCAACTTTCCGCCTATGAAAATTATTTTTGGGTCTTACTTATATTTTTCCTTTATTCCACATTACGTCCAGTATCCTCGCGCCACTTCCCGTCCAAATCTTGAAAAATTAGGTGTACAATCAAGAAAAAAATGTTTTAACTGTGTGGCGTAAAGCCGGTCAAAGCTTTAGTATATTTTAAACCCATTTTGTTAAACTGCTCGAAATAAATGCGAGTGGTAAATGCAAAACATTGCTGCATAAGCTTTTTAGAAGCCTGAAAATGGGTTTTTTAAATAAACGCCCGCATATGGGGCGAATAATGAGCGCGGTTTGCTGTTATCACAGTTGCGTGCTGGAAATTTCATTGCAATAATTAATCTTAATTTCGACGCGAATGGTTGCGATTATGATGGTGTAATTATTACGGGAGTCTCTAATTGAACGGTTTAAGTGCTTTGTTCGACTCAATTATACGCAGCAAAAGTCCAGCCTATTTTACTCACTGAATTCACTTACTTTGCCTGCATTGTACAGCGATAGGGAGGTGAGGGCGGCTGGTCTGGGCACGGTCCAGTAGTAGCTGCGTTTCTTCACTTTGCTGGCTGGTGGCTGCTCCGAACTTGCCTCCAAGCAATAGAGAGGCTCAATGAATAGAACAGCCAAAAACAATGCCAAGAATCGTAGGATTAAAGTGGATTCGGCCATTTTTCTGAAAGCATGATTCTTTCAGATAAGTTCTATATTGTTGAGGCGGATTCATTTTTTACAAACTTCTTTTTGGGTATTTCGCCTCAAAAATTTTTGTCTTTAGAAAAGACAGAATTTTAGAAGAAGACAGTCTTTTATTACAGATTGATAAATAGTGCTCCTATTTCGCAATAAGAACGAATTATTTATCAAAAAGTAATCAAGAACTATCACCTAGAGGGTATCCTGCGACACACTTAGGCTCAAGCTGTAAGAGAAAATTCCAATTCTTAGAGAAATTAATTTGAAAAATTACCTTGACGTTTCGATAGCTATTTTCTGCTATCGTTATCAAAAGAACCTAAATGAACCGAAAAAAGAGTATGTTAATAAATTGT